ATGGATGACAAAGTACTTGTAGACTTCAGACTATCAAAGGTAATACATTCACGGTTCCCGTCTTTAATATGTCACTGGAGTGCCTCTATTTCAACTTGGGCGCCGATTTTGTATTTTAAGTAGCCTATACAGGGTGAGACCCCCCCCCCTCCCCCCCCCCCAAAAAAAGCGGAATATGAAACCAAGAACTTTCGATTCAGGTCAGTAGTTTTTGATGCAGAGCTTTTTTGTGAACCACATATAAATGCCCATGATTTAGCATTTGGGAAACCTTTTGTTATGCATATCTGCGGGAAATAGGATTACGCGTTTATTAACAAACGTATTTTGCAACACAACCTGGAGAATTGTGTGGTATGGTTCATGTGCTGAACGTTGCTTTAATGTTTTACTTTCAATTAAAAGGAAACCTAGTCAGTTTCCCATCATGGTTGTTTTTGTTGGAAATTTTCCCAAAGTCTAATTCGAAACACTGAATCCTCTTTATTTCCAAAACCTTCTTTCACTTTTTAGGGTGATGGTATCGAGTTCAAGCGACACTTCCTCAAGATAAAAGGAAAACTGGCGCACATCACCACCAAAGTACCCCTGCTCTCCCCTTTTGTCTGAATGGCCTGACCCAGCTGGGTCAGAGGTCACAACACTCAGCATTTCCCGATTGAGGGTAGCAGTATTAATACCAACTCTTCCATTAATTATGCAGGTAGTTTTGTATCTCTATTTTTGTCAGGGTTTTATGCGATCATGAGTTCCTACGATCAGCTTGTTCCATAATCCACAGTGCCTGGAAAAAATCTGGCATTCTTTGGAACTTCAGGAATTGTGGTGTTTTACTCACGATCAGGTGGTGATTCATTATGAACGACGTCAACTTGTCAAATTTGGCAGGCTTGTTGTTTGAGAAACTTGAGTTATTTCAATTCAAACTTGGCCCAGTTACACTGCATCCGAATCGCAGGGGTGCCACTGCCAATTTACACGTGTGTCCAGGGATAGCCGATTTTTTTTGGACAATGCCTTTGGTTGCTTGACTGCCAATTTGTGTGTTTGCTAAGTTTGGCATGATGATAAATCTCCAGATACCTTTAAATCTGCATTTTTTGCTCATCGTTTTCCTGATTCAAGATGAATAAACCAACCATTTTATAAAATTGAATTGTCCATGATAGTCAACGCACAAGCTTTGACGAGTTAGGAGGAGAGAATTGACCAGAAAATGTTGATCAACTTACTTTCGTTTCAATAAATGAATCAAAAGCAACATTTATAATTATGATCCTGTATTTTAAGGTTTACACTTTACACAAAAGGGTGTTTTCCCCCATATTTTATCAAGGTATAATGTATTATATAAACTGATGCATTGAATGCACTGCATACCTTACAAAAGCGTCATAGAAAACAGCAGTTACAAGTGTTGAGCCGGATATATACTATTATTGAAGGTAAGTTGTCAAAAGTCCATCACAAGCCAATCAATGTCACTGTTGCCTATTTTATTTTTAAACATGAAATGTACGTTTTTGAGGTTTTGGTTCCACTTCTTTTGACTCACTCTGTAGATCTGACTTGTGAGGACTTACTGACGTCAACTCTACTGCTATTTCATGTTCCTTCGGTTGTGTAGCCTGTTCTCTAAATATCTAGAAGCCAAATAACGAGTTCCTTGCTAATTTTCAGCTTATCTGGAACCGGAAACAGTTAATTATATTCTCGTCTTCTTCACTGTGCCAAACAAAAATGATTGGATTTTCATGTGTACAATTTCTTTAATCTTTTGTTCCGATCATCACGTTTGCTAACGTTTTGCATTTCAAGATATATTTTTGTAATCTTAAAAGAAGATTTTTGAAGAAAAAAAAGAAAAAAAAATTGTTACAAAGTTTATTAAAGATCCACTGGAAAAAAATATTCCTCGAGTTTTTTGAAAAAAATCTTTGTCTAGCAATTCTGAATGAGTGGATTTCTCAGCTTAAAATGTAGGTCCTGTGAATATTACACAAATATTGACTGCTTCGAGTGGTGTAGTAAAACTAGCCTCCCGAGGTGATCCATGAAGCTTTCTATAGAATGCTCCATGGATGACCGAGGGAGGCTAGTTTTACTACTTGGATAAAGCAGTCAATATTTGTTGACATCTCTCCCACAGATTCTGCTTGATTTTAAGCGATAACTGATTAATTTAATCTGAATACAAATACAATTTATTTCTATTTGAATACGAAATTAGTTACAAATTTACCTGCACTTTTTTAAACCACCCCTTCACAAAATGTTTGAACCCAGCTCTGTAGCGCTAGCGCTTGGGAACAATACGCGCAACGCGCAAAGCACACACCTTTATGCATAATACATTTGCACCATAGGCATCTAATAATTAGATGTACATGTATATGATACAGTACTTTGGTTGCTACGCTACGGGTATAGTACTTTTGGCCGTGCACAGCAAGACAGCAAAAACAGAGAATGCCATGGGACGCGCTCTGTGTTGTTTTGTCACTTATACTTTGTACTTAAATTGGTGCTTATGTAACCCAGAAAAGGGAAACAGTGGGAACTTGCAAAATTAAATAAATCTAAACTAAAATTCAATCTAAACCTAAAAAGGGTGACAGAGGAGAAAACGCAGGTTAATTGAAAAAAAACATAGACAGGGAAAACAAATTATATTTCTGAGAAACGAGCCAAAGAAAACTATTTATTTGAAGTTAACCAAACAAAAGAAAACGATTTTAAGTAAGAGCTAATACTAAAATTAATCAAGATTTCTGGCAAACAAATCAACCTTACAGAATCTTAAATTTAAGACCAGATCTAAATTTAAAACAAGTTTCGAAATTCACGAGAAAGGATGAATAAATCGTCAACAACCGAGCACTTATGACCACCAATGAGGATGAACAAAGGACCTTCAGGCATGCAACTTTTCCCGGATAAGCCCATTTCCTCGTTGTTCACTTCATACTTATGCCATTCAAAATTGAAAATCACTGTACAAGGTCTTTTTAAGATTGAAGTTTCCTGGGTTTTTTTTCTTCCAAGTTGCTTGCCTGGACCTTAAACCAGAAACGTCAGTTCTTTAACCTAGAAACAGAGACTGAAAATATACCGAACATAATTGGAACAATTAAACGGAGACTACAAGTTATGAGTTACAAGTTAAAGCCAATGCAGTTTGCAAGAAACAGTAACAAAAATATACCACAATGGGGCATTAACAATCGGGCATTAACAACCTATATACAAGAACCAAAAAAGGAACAAAGGTTTTAAGATCAATGTATATACATGGAGTACATTTCTTAACTCTAAACTATGTCTTTAACACTATCGTTAAGTTATCTAAACTCCTACAAAATAAAAGGAAAATCCATTGCCAAAAGTGAGCTCAATCAAAATATTTTTGTAATGTACAACACCTAGACCTTCCCTGTTTGTTATCTTTCTTAGACAAGTCAATTCAATTGATAAGAATGCTACATACACCAGTTCACTTAGGATGTTGTACCTCTAGAAATTAAAGTGTTCTCAGAATTGACGTATCGTGTCTTGTACCGTGCTACCTGCTTCATAAAATGTACTGACCATAAATGCCAATTGGACAGCAGTACACTGTGGCCTTGCCATGGCGACTTTGAAATGCTCTGTCTAGCAGTGTGCTGGCCCTTAATAACTACGACTTAAAAATAGCAGGAATATCAACATTGTGTTTGTTGTGTTTTTTGGGTAGTTTCAAATAATTGTCTGGATCACTTTTCAATGCATTATTCAATTTAAGTGAAACTTGTACTGACTGCAGTCAATACCCAGACCGAATGATGGCTGAATGCGGGGAAAAAAACCTGGTAATCTTGCCCGTTATTGTGGGAAACAAGGACATATCACATTTGGCATTTATTTTTAGTGGATTTCCTGATTGTCAGTTGTGCATTCAGGGCTATTCGTGATTACATACATTTCCATTTATATTTCTAACATGTTTCAAGCGTTATGTATGGTCTCGGTCTATTTGAATATACAAGGGTTATAATATCGACTTTAATATATCAAAATATGCAACAAAATATCCAATGTCTTTGTTATCTCCCAAGTATTCGTCTATACTAAGTTATTTTATAACAATTTGACTTATAACGTTTTCAGATTTTAGTTTTTGAAATTAAAACCCTCTATGACATAACTAGACTACAACTTGTGTGTGCATATTCTATCTGCAGTAAGCATCATTCACTTTCCCTTTACGGTCATCATAGTGACGGACAAGCCGCAATCAATGACCATTCACCGGGTAATATGTTCCTTTCGTGACATGAGCATCGACATTCAGACCGCAACTTGAATGTGGGAGGGTGTGATTTAGGGGAGGTGGGATTAAGAACTCATACATGTGTACTTTCAAGTAACCGTTCACGACGACGATGTTTTGAAACTTTTAATTGTGTGTTGGGAATATCTAATGAATTTGGAAGCAATGAGAGACGTGAAGAATCGTCAACTGAGGTAGTGCGCATTATTAAATCGCTAATTAGCACCTGCACCTTCAGAGTTATTTTAAAAAAAAATTAAAAATTAAGGCGGCCTGACGTATCGATGAAGAAGATCTTGTTAAGATCCATACGTTAGGCCGCTTTAAATTTTTACATTTGTATATTTCAGGTCAATCCAGTCAGAAAACATTTTCATTTTATTTTACTTCATTATTACTACTATTACTGTAATAGGGCGACAGGTTTTGCGAACTCCGTCCACAATAGGGCGATACACCTTATTGAGGCGACAAAATAACTGTCGCCCTTTTATGAAAACGACCCTTAGGACAAGGAATTTTGCTGTCGCTAACCATATAGATCGATTCCTCATGGTCCAATTAGTATAAATACTAAATTTCGTGGAAAAAACATAGGGTGAACTTGGGTTAGGTGACAGTTTAGGTTTGTGCACAAGTCTATGGGAAAGTCACCCTATTGGGGCAAAAAGAGTTAATTTTATTATTATTATTATTTTTATTAATTTATATTTAAATGTTATCCCTAGGCCGCCTCAAGTTCATATTGGGATTTTAAACCGACCACAAACGCGGGTTAGGGAAGGCGGTTTTATACTGGATGACATCGATGGCATTACACCTTGTGGTATATCTTCACTGAGTACAGGTCAGCCACTGCCAGCTGCTGGCTGTCTGCCGTGGATGTGATTCCTTGGGGGTCGTACAGCCCCTGGGCCACGCAGCTGACAAACTGACCGGCATAGTTATAGTGGTGTATGTGACCGGTGTTGACTTTCCCTGTGTCCACTACAAGGTAGATACCCGAGCTGTTGCTGCATACACCACCGGTATGTTCCACCGGTTTACCGTCGATGGTTGGCTGGATGCTGGTAACAGTCACAGCGTTGCCATTAGAAACCTCCACTATCTCCACTAGTCCCTGGTCCCCGTCACTGATCACAATCCAACCATTGCTCAGTATAGCCAAGAAGTCAGGTATTATCTTCACTGACATGGTGTGTTTTATCTTACCATTCCTGGGATCGAGCTCAACCAATACCTTTTTCTTGAGACCCGCTATGATGTTACCATTCGGCATGATTGCCACGCTGTACAGGCAATTGTCTGCAGTGCCAACCTGATCCTCCGGCACGACGTGGAAGTCACACTTGTGCGTAGTGTCTCTATGGTAAACCATCACCTTGTAGGGATTAGCACACACCCACTGATTCGATATAGCAACGACGTCATCTGGAAAACAAAATTTATTTCGAATAAGATCATTCAGATAACCGAAAGTGTTTCGAGTAATTACTGCTGTCTACAAAAAAAAATGATTAAAATAATTAATATAAATTTATCTGATTTTTTTGAGAATCAAGTGATCCTGATCCACTACAGACCTTGACATGTTCAATTAACTAGTAGCAATGTTGTTTAAAACGCATTATGGAAAATTAAAGTGTGCATTTCACATAAAGTGTGCATGTTACATGGGGTTATGACCACAGACATATAAACGCATAGACCGCCAGTCGTGCGCGTAAAACCGCGATTTGAAAAAGTATGGGCAAAATGCTTGTTGACAGCGTGCGTAATCGCGCGATGCGCGTGCAATGCAGATACGCTCTTAGTACAGTACACACATTTACATACAGAACATACATTTTTGAATTAAAAAAAAGGTTGTTTTACTCACAATCCGATTGAAAAAAGTTGTGCACGTTATTGTTTTTTAATCTACCTAATTCATATTAAGTACACAAGGGATTTTTTTCACAATCGAAAAATAACTTCATAGAATTTTTTTTAATGGAATAGTTTGGGTGTGTGTACAATCCCTATATAGTCCCTGGGATAGGGCCATTTTATCGCAAAATGTTATGATTAATCTTAATGTTATTTTCTGTTGTAGGGTACCTTGGGACATTCGAAAACGGTGTTCTTAAGCTGTACAGCTGGTACTTTTGCCTTCCAGCTCCAAAAAAACTGATATTTTGGGGGCTTATTTTTTTAGAAACGGCTAAAATCGTATTTTGGGCCTCTGCTCTGTAGCCTTGCAAACGTCATTTGCTACACAAGTGTTTTTTAATCGGTCCCTTTCTGAACGCACCCTGAGGCAGTATAGCCCCACTAGTGTGGCCGTCGGTATGCTGCGCTGAACCTTTGGCCACACACCGTGGTACCGCGCGCTACTGAGGACGAAGTTTTCATAAAAATTCAGGGCAGTTTCTTACATTCTCAGTTTCTTACTTTCTTATGGTTGTATTCTATGATGTCTCACCTGTCACTTCTGGGATGCTTAGGTCTAATGATGTTCCATTTTCCGAGATATTCTTCAATCTTTCTGGAGTCCATATGCACTCGTGAAACGTCTGGTGATGGCAGCCATTTTGAATGGGACAAGAGATGACCTCAAGCTGTGACGTCGCGTGTATGCAAATTGCTTGTCGAGCGCGCGAGGGCGCGAGTTGCAAATGCGACGGCTGTTTCCTGTACCATGCACTTATCGTCAGGGGGCCACGTGCACCGATCTCTATTCAGGATCTACGGCACAGAAAACAGCCGTCGCATTTGCAACTCGCGCCCTCGCGCGCTCGACAAGCAATTTGCATAAACGCGACGTCACAGCTTGAGGTCATCTCTTGTCACATTCAAAATGGCTGCCACCACCAGACGTTTCACGAGTGCATATGGGCTCCAGAAAGATTGAAGAATATCTCGGAAAATGGAACATCATTAGACCTAAGCATCCCAGAAGTGACAGGTGAGACATCATAGAATACAACCATAAGAAAGTAAGAAACTGAGAATGTAAGAAACTGCCCTGAATTTTTATGAAAACTTCGTCCTCAGTAGCGCGCGGTACCACGGTGTGTGGCCAAAGGTTCAGCGCAGCATACCGACGGCCACACTAGTGGGGCTAGAGGCAGTAGTACTTTATTGCTGCTGTATTTGGTTCTTATGGAGGTGGTGGTGGTGGTTCACTGTAATTACACAAATACACAAATTACAATACTTAACTTTAGTATTAACAATTACAGAAAAACATAATAAACCATTAGATTAATTAGTCAAATATATATGCGATTGAGCTTGAGCCTTCACTTGACATAGTGCGTACATTATCCCTGTACGTGTAAGTAAACACCCCCAAAACATATAAATCATCACTTTGATTGCTACAACTAATCTTACTAAATCACTCAGAATATGATAAATTTTAACCATGAATAAATCAACAAGGCTTACCGATTGTGCTGGATCCGAAACTACAACATTTGGGACTTAGAAAACCTGATAATTTTACATTTATTTGGGGAGATAAATTTGGTACACGTTCATTGTTTACGAATCATCGGAATCATGAAGAATTTACACTTTGACCTTACAAAATGCACCATATCACAAGAGGGCGCTATTACGAAAGTACGGGAACAATTAATGAACAGTTTTACCGCAACAAACTTATTTCCAATCAAAGGTATGCGTGATCATAAATTAAAGTTTAGAAAACACTTTGAAATAACAACTATGATTAAACCCAAATTAAATTTCACAACTCGCCGCTACAGCTCTCTCCAAAATGGTCCCGTCGTATTCTGTTTGCACTTTTTACAATCCTTATAGGATGGGTAAACAAGAAAAAATATGGTTGGTCACAAGTGTATCCGTATTCGTGTTCCCTGGGCATATATTTCTTTGTGGACACCCCCTAAATCCTGTGACTTTGCCCTGCGATTTGCGACGCGTTGCGATTTTCGAATTGGACAATTCATTCGTCGTGAAATCGGGTGCTGCTGATCGCCTGTTTTACAGTCTATGTGTTTCTGTGGTTATGGCTCGCGATGTTGAAGTATTCCAACACTATTTAGCTGTTTCCAATTTCAATGGTTAATTAGTTTCTTCTCTTTCCAAATCCGAAAACGTAAAAGTCAAATTGTTATAAAATAACTCATTTACTGTCCTGTGAAACCTTGGCGCCTAAGTCTTATGCATTGATCTCCATATAATACAGACGGGATATGACAGTGCGTCCGAACGCCGTCCACGCGCGTGTTTTTTGAAAAGGGTAAAGAAGAACATTTTGCATTCGTGTTGTGTACACTTTTATGGAGGACCAAAAGTGGACAACCCATTTTTCAAAAATCTGCTAGAACAAAAACAGAATTATGGTTGAAATGGAGTCCTCTTTCTGAATTTTCATATTTTTATTATCAAAAATTTAGATTTTTTATTTTGGTGTACATAGGCGGTCCAAAAGTGGACAAACCAAATTTGTGTATTTTTACTTGAAAAAATGGGAAAGAGCATTTACGTCTAAACCAAATTTCCGAATTTCTGCTAGCAGAAAATCGGGAAATGCTTGTGCGACCAAACCGAATTTCCGAACTTCCACTAGCAAAAAAAAGAACCAAATTTCAATTGTTTGTACTATAGTTGAAAATCAAGGTGTCGATTTTTTTGGGCTACTCCATTAGTCGTTTGGGTAAGAAACGCTCATCAGCAGAAGTGTTCTCATAGGCCTTAAAGAAAATTAATATTTAAAAACGATATATAGCGGAGGAACTTGACTAATGATTTTTTATCTTAGTAAACCTTTAGCAAACTAGGGGTTGTTTTCAGTCTCCTTACAAAAAAGTCCAGAGCGAACGCGGCTAAAGTTTGGTTAGTCGCTAAATATAGGCTACTAATAATAGAACAAGTTGGCGTCTGCCAAGGGCGGATGCAGGGGGGCCAACGGGAGCCATGCCCCCCCCCCCACCCCACCAAAAAAACCGAATTTAATGTTAATTTTGCTTTAAATTACGTGGCAGTACAGGCAGTCAATGCGCACACCACCATCTTTTCCTCAAAAAGATTTTGTTAAAGTGATCAGATCGCACCACAGAGCATGTAGAATCCAAAAAATGTTTCGGGGCCGTTAAGCCCTTATTAATTTTTATTGGGACCCACTTTTTAGGGTCCACATTTTTTTCTTTACACCCCCCCCCCCCGAAAAAAAGGTGTTCTGGATCCGCCCTTAACGTTGGCTTATAAAAAAAGAAGAATATCTTTTATGTCATTCCGACTTTTGTTGGCTAGATCATCAAACACAATTACGGTCTGGTACACACACAATTACAATCAATCGACCTGCTCGACTCAGATGAGGGTTTCTCACCCTAAACGACCTATGGAGAAGCCCAAAAAAAACTCCAGCTTGATTTTCTACTAGTACAAACAAATGAAATTTGGTTGATGGTATCACACGTTCATTTTTCTGCTAGTAGAAATTTGGAAATTTGCTTTGGTCATAAACGCAATTTCCGATTTTCTGCAAGTGGTAATTCGGAAATTTGCTTTGGTCATAAACGCAATTTCCAATTTTCTGCTAGTCGAAATTTGGAAATTTGCTTTGGTCGTAAAAGCAATTTCCGATTTTCTGCTAGTATAAATTCGGAAATTCGGTTTGGACGTAAACGCAATTTCGGCTTTTCTGCTGGCAGAAATTCGGAAATTTGGTTTGCACGTAAACGCTGTTTCTGATTTTTTGCGCCTTATAATTCGGAAATTGTGTTTGTCCACTTTTGGACCGCCTGTGTACCAGAAAACAAAAATCCAAATTGTTGACAATAGAAAAATAAAAATTCAAAAAGAGGACTTCATTTCAACCATAATTTTGTTTTTGTTCTGGCAGATTTTTGAGAAAATGGGTTGTCCACTTTTGGTCCTCCGTAACACTTTGGAGCGGAGTATTAAAAAAAAAAACAGTTGGATTTTCTTCGGTTTCTTTATAATTTTTGAAAGAATAAAAGGAACAGAGATCTAAATTGATCAAACTCGATGAGGATTATTTTTCAAGGTGTGCGCAGTATTAGATTGCTGGAGTCGGGAAGTAAGGAGCGTTGAAGAATAGGACAATTAGTAAGTATTTTCTTTTAACAAATCGGTAAACTGCCTTCGTTTACGATAGGCCTACAATATGAGTCTACTGCTGGGAATGACAAAGCAAATTATAGTATCGTTAATTTTGTCGTTCTGAGGGGATGGAGGCCTACTGTGTGGTAGCGAAATATTCTGTTCAATTTCCATGCGATCTAGGCCTGTCATGCTGGTCGACATCATTTTTATTTTAAAGACGTACGTGACCGACTAAGCTGACAATGGCAATGAAAAGAAATTGAGGTGAGACTTTTTCAAATAATGTAGTCGAATAACTTTCATATGCAAATTTTGAATTATGTCTGCCTTCGGCTTAATTAATGCTTGTCGAAATGTGCCCATTCGTTTGCTTTATAGAGATAAACCAAGGAGATGGTTTAGGCGTTATTGCACAACTTCCGATTGACCTTCAAACAAAACAAAGCCACAAGCACGAACCACCAGCTGCAGGACGGTATCTGAGACAGACGAAAATTGAGAACTTTACGGAGGGAAGGAATCGACTGTATCATTCACTGAACTGAACATGCGATGTGATAGGCATCACACTCACAGAGTTTGACTTTAACTGGATCAATTCTTACTTAAATTTAATGACTGCGATGTGGAACTGTTAACATTGATTGTATGATTTTTATTTTTGGAAAGAAGCTGTGGATTTCAACGCAAATGCACTCCCAAGATGACTGTCACATTAGATTTGACATCAGTTTCTGTTGTGAATAAAGCAATAACTTAAGAATACTTTTAAGGTTTAAAATTACAATAACTATACGCCATTATTTAACATTTCTAGCTTTAGCTATTAACACACAGCTATTTGCTCACAAAAACGATTCCCATTACACTTACACATCATTCTATCGTTTTTCTTCAGAAGTACAGCTAAACAACTATTTTGTATTATTCTTTGACAAAATTAGTCAAGTACTATTTTGGTTTGTGATTCGTCTCCTTTCACACAATATCACAGTAGGTGAACGATGTCATTCCCTGATCAATCTGTCAGATTGTACCTGGGAACGGGAAGAAGACTTGTTTATTACTGATTGCTTTGTAAAATTAAGGGTTTTTTTCTTTACCTTTTAGATTCTAATTGATTTATGTTCAGGTTTTTTAATAAATGCATCAAGTATTTGAATGAATCTCGATGCAATTTTTCGTGTGAGTGTTCAGTTTAAAAAATATAATGTCATTTCGGCATATTATTAATACAATTATTCATTTAATTGATGGAGTAATTCAATGTACTCTAATGACCAATGTGGCAAAAATTAAACGGCAATTTCCTACAATCATTTTTTTGGAGGAGGGATTTATACAAAAAGAAAGAAAAACCATTGTTAATTTCGAAAATGTATAAAGAGAGTACACATCAAGTGTGGAGAAGCTGTTTGAAAAGATTGAGGTAACTCTTCATGTCGTTCTTTTTGTTGTTGTTGATAATTTGTTTTTGAGGAGCGCTTCAACTCCCTCCTGTAAGAAAACAGCTCACTCGATAATCCTTTTCTGATTTCCAAAGCAAACGAAATGAATGCACATTGAGTGTTTACCCGTCTGACAGTAAACGCGCCGCAATTGTTCGGCCGCGCATTCGTGTACAAACACGGCACGATGTCCTATTCAGTCTGTATAATATAGACATCAATGGTATTATGTCAATTGACCTATCGCGGTAGAATCTCGTTAGAATCGCGTCAACGCAACTTGTGAAGTATTACTATACCTCATACATATTCATGATCGAGAGCCGAACTCTTACTGGTCAATTCACCATCACGTGCCAGATGTTATTTTTGCTGTTTAAGTATTGTCCAATTACATGATAAACAAATGGACGCGGAACGCACGACATCTGAGACAAACAAAACTTAGCGTACAAACAAATCCGTAGGGTTGTCTACGGGGCGTGGCTAACTCGCAAACGGCGAGAGAACAATTCGTCACAGTTTTCACGAAGAGACACATATGTCAAAAATTACCATTTTTTTAACGATTTTTCACTAGTTTGCTTTAAAACATTGTAGAAAAACATCATTAATTTCCACATTACATTAATGGTGCAAGGGGCAGACATTTCGATGATTGCATTTTGCGTTTTCACGAAGAGACAAATACATTTCGGTCCCTTGAACGTGTACAAAACCTATTGCACGGAAAGGCGTAAAAGTAGCTCAGAATTTCGTTTTCACGAAGAGGGTATCTTTGTTACATTCTCAGCTGCGCGCGTGTACACGCGCGCCCCTTCCATTATAGAACAACACATTTAACAGAAAGGTCCTAAATGTAGGAAGCTTAAATTTTTGTCTTCCCGAAGAGACACATAGTTTTACTAATTAATATTCTTTCATTAACTACTGTGTTAATTCTAATTACTGGGTTCACGTAAAAATTAACTTCTCATAGAATCATGTGAAGGATTCCTTATTGTGCAAAGTTGTTGCAAATTAGTATTTTTTTTGCAGTTTTGAAATAAAAGAAACTTCTTTTGAGATTATCTTGAAAACGCTTTTTGTTCAAAATCCACATAAGGTGGCTGTTCGTGAAAACTGTGGCAATTTTCCAGCGACTGACTCAACTTTGATGTGGTTAGGCGAATTATTTTGCAAGTTTATCTC